CACACACACACACACACACACACACACACACACACACACACACACACAAACAAACACACACACACACACACACAAACACACACACACAAACACACACACACACACACACACACACACCACAAACACACACGCACACAAACACACACGCACACACGCACGCACGCATTTTCTAAGTTGATTATAACAAACTAGTGGAGTAATTTTACAAAAAATAATTGAAAATCAATTCAATACAAATTTTATTTCTTGTGAAAATGGCGCATCATAGGTTTGGCGCTTAGACACACACTACACTTTTTACAATAAGATTCCGGAGCATATATCAAGATAATCATTTCCTAAGTTTAAAAACTACATTAAAAATATTTTGATTGAAAAGTCATATTACAAAATTGAGGACTACGTGTTTGATAAAGATGTATGGAACGACGACACGGCTCCAGAATCCACACAAATTTGATCTAAAGTGTATTCCGTAGCATTTCAATTTATTTGAAAAGAGCAATCCCTAGAGTTTCTTGCTCGTTCTTCTCAGGGAAATCAGCGTAGTGAACGAGCAGTAGCTTAATGTAATGTAATGGAAATGTGACGTTTTCAAATGTTAATTTATTTTACCTATGGAATAAATGATCTTTGACTTTGACTTTCACTTTGGCATATAAACGTTATCGAAAATCCGCGCGGCCCTGGGGATCTAATCTCGTTCTCCGTCTGACATCTTTCCGAAATAATTACAGTCAAATAAGTAACATTTGACCTAATCAAAAGACAATGTCGAGCATGAAGCTTCATTCGCATCATGCGTCAATTAATTTTATCGAGTATTACATATTATGTGACAGTAATTATTTCAGACGGATATCGGAAGGAGAACGAAAGTAGACCCCATGCGTGTGCTTTATTACGAAGTCTGTAATTTAGTCTGTTATTCAAATTAATAAACATTGAAATTCGCAACCGTTACGGGTGTCAAGAACAAACTGACTGACATGATCTTTTTTCGCAGTCTACGGAAAAATTCGCGTAGTCCGTCAATGTGGCTACATAGCTGAAGAAAACACGGAACAGTCCTGCAGGAAGCAATCAAGCTCGGGTGATCTATTTGTCACTTATTGCAGTTGTGACACGGATCTATGCAATGATGCTCCGGCGCATGTTCCTGTGATGATATTCGTAGTTGTATTGGCGTTCACGGGTATTGTGCTATGATTTTGAAATGTGTGTCTTTTAGACTAATTTTGTTGTTTTCTTCTTCAGAATAAATTTAATGTATTCAGTTAAGTGCGTCTTTTTTATTCATAAGACACACTGTAAGTTGTAGAAAATGAAATTAATAAAACCACTGTTAGCAAAAACTGTGTAATCGGTAATTTGATTTGAAACACTTATTGCTGCTTGCAATAACTATCAGTTTAAAATAATAGGTTACCGATTCGATTTGGCTATAAAACAATAAAAAGAGACAAAATGGCAACACTAAAAGATATTGATAGTGTTGGATTCGCTCTGGGCCTTTTGGAGGGAAAAGTGTCTTTTTTATTTTGACTTTCAATTATTTTGTGAAATCTAGTTTAAAGTGGAATAGGAGAGTGCTATTGTGCCTTAATCGAAGATTAAAACGCGAAATTATACGAATCTCGATATATATGAGAATATGGGAAGTGTATTAACGGCGAAACGTTACTTTCCTGAAAGGATGTATATGTTTACGGGTTTTAAGGAATTGCAGTTAATATATTTTATGGGTATATTGTTTCATTTTAAAATTCTATATAAATATAAACATATGCTGATATATCGTAATTCTTTGTTGTCAAAGAATTCAGTCACCAAGCAGTAATGTCAGCATTACTGCGTTCCGGTTTTGAAGGATGAAGGTGCTAGTGAAACTACAAGCACATGCGACTTGTCAACTTTGTATCCGAAGGGGATACGTGTAGAGGCAGAGTCCCTCACATCGTTATGAGAGAAGCGGGATAAACTATTTTGTTAGATCAAATTGTCTATTATATAACGGTCTTACAAAAAATATACAATATACATAAGGATATTGTCTAAAGAATGTACTAATTCGTTACACGATAGTATGTACTTTACCCGATTGTACAAAATCCCGAAAACAGTCTAAAACTAATTATGTAAGAATTTGATATAAATTTGCATATAATTTTTATATGGAGATATTTCTTTGTAAGTAAGTACTACAGTTTAGCAGCAATAGAGTTCCTTGTGAAGGAGTTCGTCCAGGGTAGTACTGCCATTTTACCTATTTCTGTCGCCAACCAGTAATGTCAGCATTACTGTATTCCGGTTTCGTAAGATAAGGGTGCTGGTGAAATTACAGGCATGTGGGATTTGTCAACTTATGTCTCAGGGTGACGGGCGCAGTGGCAGTGCACCTCAGATCTTTGCGATTTAAAGCTCTAAATGACACTGCAACTGTTATGGACAGGCGTAGAGCTTACCATCAGACACACGACTTGTTCGTCTCGACACTTGATATTATATAAAATGTATATAACATGTAACGTTTAGCTCGTAAGATATTCAATCCCACAAACAAGTATTGTAGAATAATTCTCCAACCTCTAGTCATGTACAAATTACCTTTCAAAGTAACGCTATCTCACCTAGATCTTACTACAACATCGGTAATCTATTACTACCTAGGCGATAGAGCAACCTGGGTTATGTAAACGAGAGCTTTCAATCAAGTGTTACGTTAACTGGATACCTTGTTTTTAAATACCAAGTGGCGCGACGAACAAGACATGCGTCTAGTGGTAAGCGATATGCCTATCCATATCAGTTTTAGTGACACGCATTAAATCGCAAAGATCTTACGGGCTCTACCATTGCGCCCGTCACCTTCAGGCATTAGTTGACACGTCTCATGTGGCTGTAATTACACCCTTACCCTTCCAAACCGGAACGCAGCAATGCTCACATTACTGCTCAGCGGCAGAAATGGGTAAAGTGACTGCACTGGACGATATCATTTACAAGGAGCTCTACTGCACCTGGTGGTATTTCAATAGTTAAAAGATTAATTATTTCTAAAGTGAATTGTGATTTATTTACTATAATAATGGTCCCGACAATCACACTCATTACCCGGTCTCAAACTAGGAAATTCCTTGTACTATGAGTACCAGAGTAAAGGAAATAACTACGAGAAGTACCTAGAAGACCCAGACCACAGTTCGTTACTTCATTACCCAAATTGTTCCTACCTCTTCACCTAGCGCCCACTGTACTAATCGCTGGGCCCCCGATTTACTATTATCATCTTTAATTATTGAGTAACTTCCTAACACAGCTATGTTCCAATGTTGGTGTAGACAGATTCTAAAAAAATCTATCTTAAATATGTCTCTTAAAAAATTCTCACACTTTTCAAAGACAATGTACAAGGTTTTGATTATAGTGCACCTTACTATTCAATCTTTTGGTTATACGTGTAAAGTTTTCATAGTAGTCATAGAAATGGGACTCCAGTGTTATAAATTATACTATAATTATCTTTCGCAATGGAGGCCGCCTGTCAGCGTTCCGTTGATACTTTTTTATTTCTTATTTCGGTTATACTAATTCTTAATGAAGTCAAGTAAGTTTTCTAACAAAACGAAATAAATTAATATCACGATCCGCTAATATACGGGAAGGGCACTATTATCTGTGCGAGTAAAAACCTGTGCAAAGACCTTATCAGTCAGGTCCTTACCCCAAATATCCTGTTGACACGGATGACATCCGGTTCTCAAACCGCTAGTACCTACCTCGGGTGGGCGCCCCCGGGTGGACGTGCAGCACCCTCCCTATTTTCCAGATAGATACCGGAGCAATGTAATACAATTATTCGGAAATGGTTGGGATTGGTATAGCGAACCAAAATCAAATTAGTGCGAGAACTTACCAGGGTTGGCACCATCGCGGAAGATCTTAGGCTGGTTCTTATAAGCCAGGAAGTATTCAATGTGGGCCATTTCGTGATGAGCTGTGACCAGATCTTTCATATCAACGTGTGTACACATTTTGATTCTGTAATAAAACAGTTGTACGATTTAAAACATGTGGTTTCTTTTCATAATTATCAACACCTACTGGGAAATAGCTCAATAATCTTAGGTCTAAACTAGTAAAAGGATATTATTATTATACTATTCAAGAATAAACACTTTGTATTTTCTGTATTTGCATAACAGAGTTCTAAATTGTTGCTAAGAAGATTTCGTAAGATTTATTATATTTTAGATATAAAGATAGTAAAGCATACCGGAAGTCATGTCGATTGCAAAAGTCCCAAGCAGAGGGTTGGCAGTGTATATGTCTCTCCTGCGGTTGCTCGAATACACTGAGTGCCCAAAAGTCTGGAGGCATTGCCGACATGTTCATTGACACGAAGAACTCTTCAGCCAGCTGGAAGATCGTCAGAGGAGTGTAGCCCTGGAATTGAAAATCATTTTAAAAGTTTCTCCTTATTTTCAAAGTAAGTTGACATAATGACAACTGGTTCAAGTATATTTATATTCTGAGGTTTTTAGCGTGCCTTTCCAGTCAATCGATCATCGGTATTAATCAGAAATATAAAAAAAAATTATAACTAAGACTTAAAAAATATAAATACACTTAAGATTATGTTCATAATGATGATTGTTCGTATAGATACTCGTTTAAATAATCCAATATTGCGAGCTCCTTACTTCGTTATTTACTTCATACATACCTGTTGCAACATTGCAGGAGAAACATCGACCAATGTCTTTCCGGGATATGGCAAGGTAAACGGCACAATTCCCGACCAGCTTTGACCCCACATGTCTCCCAGGATATGAGCTGGTATTGGAGCTGATCGCGAGATCCTTTCAGGACCATACGCTTCACGAAGACGACGGCGAACATAAGCGTGGAGGAGGTCGTATAGGGGCTTGATCTGAAACCGTAATTATTTATGATGTATAAATATACTTACAACTTGCAAGTAAAATGTCCTGGTTAACTGCCTAAGGCTTAAACTTACGCGTTTTTCAATGTGTACAGTTAAATATTTAACTAATAGGTTCAAAAGTGCATAAGAACGGAGATGAGGAAGATAAGTTAAAACCAACTTGTCAACACCGCGTTCGAACCAAACGTGTGTTTTGTATGAGGTATTACCCGAAAATTTGATTCTGAAGCGTGCTGAGAATTAAGTGATATCACTTAATAACGTTTAAAAATACAAAATTATAGTCCAATAAATTAACTTAGAAACTAATTCTAAAGAATAAAAGTCATTAAGTTCAGATAACATTATTATAACACTGAAACATACCTGTTCCCACACTTCATCAACTTCTTGTCTGAAATTTTGTGACTCATACGGGAACATCCAATAAGATGATGCGTCAGTGAAATCTGTAATGCAACATAATTATCTAGTTTAAAGAGTGCCTTAGCTTGCAATTCCACAAGATTCTCGTGTTTGAATCTTCTGTTATATTTGCTCCAACAAAACGTGTAGGCGTTTAAGGGCAGTTCAAGACTAATTAATATTTTTAATGCACAAAATTGATTCCGGGTTTCGGAGACTAACCTACTGTATTATCAAATGCTAAATGTACCTATAATTAGTACCAAGTTTATGTAAGCAACGCAACAAAGGAATAATACTATATACTTTGTTGAGTCGTAACGAAATGTTTCCTATTTTTTGCTATATTGTATAAAAGAAACTTACTATTCAATCTAGCAGCCTGATTAGTCAAATCGACCAACTGCTCATAGAGATCCCTGATTCTCCTTCCAGTGTTTCTCCTCCACTCAGTCCAGACATGCTGTAGCTCATCCCAATCCCTCGAATGTGACATTATGAATTGTAGTTCAGGTTGAAGGTGGAGACCGCACTTGAAAGGTTCGTTGTATGCGCAGATTTCTGCTGTGTTATAGACAGCTAGCATGTCGTTTATTAGACGGTTGTACTGAAAATAAAAACATAAGATATACTTATTATAAGAATTTAAACGAATTCAAGGTTGCAATAATCATCTAGGTCAGATGTTCCTAAACTTTTTTGAGTCATAGACCACGAGCCATGTTTTTTGTTTTGTGTAGGGGGTCTAGTCTATACAAAATAGTAAAAAATTAAGACTTTAACTGAGGGATCTTACACTGAAAACTTAAATCGAAACATTTTCTACTGAAAAAAACAAAAAAAATAAAAAGTAAAAAATGACCTTGCCTTTCAAATTTTTTTTATAAATTCAACTTCAAGAATATGTTTTTGAAAGCTGACATAGTGCTACTCACTTTAATAAGTTTCTGTTATAAGAAGTATTGTGTATGAGAAGCCGTTACACTCTCAAGCAGAGGCCGAGGTCCGAATCCAGTCTCGCCCTCTGAATTTCTTGGAATATATGCGCGAAATTTTATTTGAAATTTATCATGAGCTTTTCGGTGAGGGAAAACATCGTTATGAAACTTGCACGTCGAAGAAGGTTCACAACCCTCGGAAGACGTGTGAAGTCCTCAACCCAAGAACGTGGCGGCCTATGGCCTAAAACCACGCCTGAGGGGAGACCTGTGTAGACCCTAGCAGTGGGACGTACAAAAAGGTTGATGATGTACGATGTACCTACTTTCAGGAAAACCAAAATTTTGTCATGATTTGCTTGATTGGATTCCACTCTCATGGACACGTATTCTTTTTTTTACTGACATGGACCCCTTGTAGGACGGAGTCAACCCTGGGGGTCGATATAGACCACTTTGGGAAGCGTCGATCTAGATAATTATTGTTATATACTTTATATGATTACGAAGGTATAGAGTCGTGTAAATTTACGGTCTGTCCGGTCGTGGTACATAATTTATAAAAATAAAATAATCGTTTAAGAGTTATGCTGCACAAACTTTTTTATTCGAGCTATATAAATCTCTTTAGTATAATATAAAAATTTTCTTTGAAGTTACTTCCATAACTTAGTTACTTATTCTGAACATTAAAACTAATAACTTTTTTGTTTTACGACTTTTGTCCTGCCTAGTTCATTAAAAATATTTAGCCCTGGAAAAATCAAGTTTTGTACATAGGTAAAAGAAGTCTCTTTCAAATTTTCAAAAACCGTACAACAAAAATATTCAGTTTATTTACAAAACATCTGAGTAAGTACTAATACCAGGTCATCCAGTACCAGATCTTTGGAAGCTATTTTAAAAACGTTTAATTTTCTAAAATTGGTGCCTATGCGGTTGTATATTTCTCTGGTTTAAATGTGGGTATGCGATTATATGTTATTACGTAAATTACGATGTAGTTCTTAATAACAGTGTTTCATACCCTACAAATGTCAGTTGATAAAAATGTTGGTGCAATTTTCTGCTACGTACATATACTAAAAGGTTCGTACAAAAAGAAAACCCCTGGATTTCTCATTTGTTCATCTAAGGAGAAACGGCTAGATGAATGTCGTGCATTTGCTTATGAGAATACAAAATTTTTAGAATCATTGTACTGAGAGATGGGCTCACAGAGCCACTTGGTAAATGCCGAAGAACGGCGACGAGGCAGACCAAGAACAAAATGGCGCGATGATTTTTTTTCACGATACCAAGTCGTGCGTCTGGTGAAAGGGACATGCCAGTTCATAGCAGTAGCAGTGCCACTCTGTCAGTCACCCTAAGACATAAGTTGATAAGTCTCATGTGCTTGTGATGTGTCATTTCACAAAGAAAGCAATAATACCCATATTACTGCTTGGCGTCAAAAATAGGTAAGGGACTGGCCAGACATTACGTCATACCGGGAGCTGTGCAAAGTGGTACACAATAGGCTAGCTAAAAAAAATAATCACATGCATACGTGAAAATGGAAAACGACACTATAATAATAACAATCTAAAATAGTAAATTTCACGGTAGTAAAACATCATGATATTCAATAATTATTGCAATTACTAAAGTGACGTCACTAGTCAGCCTGATTGAAGAAAAAACTTTCAAAGGTTTCTCACAGATGGCGTTACGGCAAAAAAGCCGTTAAAACCAAACACAAAAATCTTCGTCGAGAACGTAGAAAAATTCTTAAAGTCTGTCTTGATTTGACTTTGATTAGGCGAAAAAGTTGCTTGTTCCAGTCCAGCCGGATCAAAGAAATTTTTTTGTATCAATCACAATAACCAAGTGTTTATTTTCTGCTCCAAGAACATCATTTATCCTAAGAAAATATATATATGAAGGCACAATGTATATGCCATAGAGCGTTGTGTAGAATAAGATTTGATTTCAAGGGGTCCGTCGCCAACCTTCGCCTTGAGTGTCGTTTAGCCACCCTCGGCAAATTTGAGAGCGCCGAATTCCTTGACTCAATAACAATATTAGGGGAGGGTTATTGGTTGAACTCCTGATTTAATCTGCAGCCTTTTCGTAAACAGCTTTGAAGGTCATCCAAAATCAGTCCAATACAACACTTTTAAAAAACAAAACTACAGCAATATTGGGCATTTGTGTGATATAAGAATATCAAGCTCTCAAATAGTTTAATGGTCTATGGTAACTTATTTAAATGACCTGGCACACCACCATGAGACCATAGCTCTTGCCAAGGAGGTACTAGCTGAAAATCAGTGTTGTTCTACATAAAATCTGCAAAGAGTTCGGCCAGGGAATTACTTGGCAGTAATAAGTGCAACTGGGCGCTTAGAACTACGTCTCTTCAACAATGCAAAAAGGAGACATATTTTAAATTTAGTATCAATAGAGCTCCTTAACTATTTCTACCGCCAAGCAGTAATGCTAGCATTACAGCGTACCGGTTTTGAGGGGTAAGGGTGCTGGTGAAATTACACGCACATGGGACTTGTCAATTTATGTCTCAGGGCGACAGACGCAGTGACATTGCACCAGATCTGAGTGGAACTACAACTGTTACGGACATGAGTGTAGCTTACCATCAGGCCCACGACTTGTTCGTCCCGTCACTTGATATTGTAAAAAAACTTACTTCAGAATCCTTTCCACACAGTGCAATAAGTGTAAACATAGTTATAGTTGTGGCCTAACCTTAGCGAAAGTAAAAGAGAGGCTCACATAATTTATTTACAAGTAGAAACGAAAAGGCTGTAACAATAAAATGATACCTATAAAAAAGTACAACCAGTATAAATCACTCCCTGCTAAACAATCCAAACGACACTTACCCCCAAAAGGGCTTATATACGTATATCTATATGATTTTAAAAACAGTAAATCACGAGAAGTTTGAGTTTTACATGAGAGTGATTTATGAGCATGTCCCCTCGTTTTAAGAATTTTGATGTTTGATGATGACGAAATGAACCAATGGAAGGAAGAGGGAATTCGAGAACTGTTCAAAATTTTAACAATAAGTGACCAGGAACTAGTAAAGAGGGTGATGAAAAGATCTTACCTTTTGTCCCACTCACGACGAAGGAGGTCAGCTACGTCACTTAGTATTTTATTTGTTTTAGTTTTTAGATTGTTACTTACATGTAAGACATTTATCTGAATGTGTTGTGTGTTTTGTATGGCAAATGGTGTAAGTTACAAAATCTTAGAACTCACTCTATCAAGTTGGTCAGGCGGTAAAGCAGAGGGTCCGATGATGGAGAGCAGACGCAACTGTCTGAACGTGGCGTAGTCCCTGACGGCTCCTCGCGGGATCTGCTGAGCTGCCTCCCATAATCCTCGCTGGAATAATGTGTAGCGTTGTTGAGCGTCCAACTGAAAAGCAACAAAGGTTAGGGTTTATTAATGTCTAGACAAGAACAATGTATGGAGATATATGAAAAAGGATAAAAAGATTAGTTCCCCAGAATCCTTCGGAAAGTAGGTGCCAGATAACCACACGAATTGCTGGTATCAAGTTAAGGGTTGCAGTATTAAGGATATTGAATTGCCTCCGTGGCCGAACGGTTACCATGTTGTACTGCCACGCGGAGGTTCCGCGTTCGATTTTCGGGCCGGGAGAAATATTTGTACAGCCTACATTTATTTCTCTCGTGAGCTTGGGTGTAAATTTGGGGTTGTCTACCTCTGTGTGTGTGTCCATGGCACCCGCGATACAAGGTTTCCCTAGGCAGGGCTATGAGTGTGTACGTTATAAAAAAAAACATAACACCTCAGTATGCTTATTAAACTACAATCTTCTATCGTAATAATCATACTGTGGTTTAATGGTAATTCATGATTTACTTATTCATTGTTCCTTTGGATTATCAGAGCTGTTACATAGTAGTATTCCAGCACATGAACTCTGTAACAGCATACAATGATAATAACTTCATTAATTATCAAGCTCCTCATGTTAGAGTTTATGAAATATTTATTTACATTTGATATATTTATTTATAGTTTTATTTTATTCATTTTATTATAGATTTTGTATGTTTTAGTGTATCAACATTACGTAACATATATGTATTCGTATGTATGTTTCATATAATAAACTTGTCTGTGTATTTGTTAAGTAGCATTCAATTTCTTTATTTATTTATTATTAGTGCCACCCCAAAAACCAACTTTCCTCTCAGATTTTCAAAGGTTAGTTAGAAGAAATGGCTTTATGGGATAAGCTCGCCTTTGTACACAAATATTTTAAATTGTTTCTTAATATTTGTAATTTACTTTGTGATACAATAAAGAGCTTAAATAAATAAATACATCTCGTACACACACTATGTCATTAATTATTACAATTATGAAATGTGTAAAAACCATTATAAAAATTTAGACCACAATAATTAACATTAAAAAGTACATAAACATACTGAAGTTAAGCTCATATAATTTAATTTATCATTAATTTAACTAATTTATGGCCAAAAATTGATAAAATAATGATTGAAGAAAAAAGACTATAACATAAAATAAATAATACTAACAAATGTTCGAAATTTATGATAATATTATTATGTTAGAAACGTGATAAAATTTAAGTGAAGATATGTCAAAAGCAGTTGATTATTAGTAAATGTCAATAATTATATAAAACATAAAACCTGTACATGACACTGGTGATAATCGCCATATTTTTTATGACAGTTATAAAACAAGCCTATATACATATAGTGGCCGCCATAAAGGAAACAATAATAACCACGGATAACAACTTATATACATATATCTAGAAAGAATGTTTAAACAGAATTATTATTGTTATTTATGCAGTTATTGTTTTATCATTCAAATATTTATTAATTGTGTTATAAGTTTTATGAACTAGCATTTCTTTTAGTTTATTTCTAAATAATGACGTATTTTATTCGGAATTGATACTTTGGGGTATTTTATTGAAGATTTTGATTGACATAGCCAATAGTAGTGGTAGCCTACAGTCAACAAAGAAGAAAACTAAAATAACGAAGTCAAGGTCAAGGTGTACTCACAACAGTGTCATCACTTGACAAATGACAGATGACAGTCAGAATGCTAACCGACACAAGCTGACCATTTATGACAACCGTATATGGTTAGCCGAGGTGAGAAATTTGCATAATGCTATCGAACTAAATGCAAAATGGGTAAAATAGGATTTCGAAATGTGTAAGGATGAATTCTTCAGTATAGTGCGTTTTTATTTTTATTTTTTCCACCGATCATGGAAAGGGAAAGGCGGAATTAACTCGTGCAATTCCATCGCACATTCTCCGTGATTATAGCCTGTGGAATAGCGATAAGCAGTTGTTCCTGTCAATGTTTTATCCACGGAATATGTGGTCTGTGGTTTTATCCTTTAATCTACTTGTCACGACTTATAGTGCAAATGTCCAGTGAAACCGTAGGAAATTTTTTGAAATTAAGGCACTTTAGAACAATAGGTAACCGACTGACGCAGATCACGTATATTTAGGTGCAAGAGGATGCTTCATAGATCTCATTCAACAAAATTTTAGTAGCAGTAGAACTCCTTGTGAAAGCGTACCTTACATATTACTGTGTTCCGGTTTTGAAGGGTCAGGGTGCTGGTGAAATTACAGTTAAGGGATATATCAACAGATGTCTCAGGGTGACGGGTGCTGTGGCAGTGCCCCTCAATTTTTATTGCAATTTTTGAGTGCAATGTACAGGCGTGTCGCTTACCACCATACGATTTGTTCGTCCTGTCAATGTCCTGTCCAAGTCCATTGATACAATTACGATTATATAATTCAAATGGAGTAGTACCAAAGTGTTGACTCAATTAAAGGTTGCCACAACACGCAACAGTCAAACACAGTTTATTATTTATATACATAATATATACACTTATTCAGACTTTTAATTTTTATAACATGTAGAAATATATTTTTAATACTAAATAAACAAAGATGACAAAAAAATTTACTGTAAAAAAAACAAAAGCGTTATATTACTGAAGCACCAATTTTGAAGTTGAAATGTCTGAAAAATCATCACTTCCGAAGATTCAAATTGAGTTAAATAGATGAACTTTACTTAAAAAGTCCTAGCTCGTGGTCGACATAAACTTAAAGATATTTATCAAACTATCTATAAATCATACGAAGTGTTAACGTGACTTAAGCAGCTGACTGCTGGTAGGTACCTACTGTCCCATATTCCACCATCAAGGTTCTCGGCTCAAAAACGTTTATGGAATATTTTCTTAACATTAACTTAGTACATGGCTATTTCTACAAACGACATGACATCATTCAGAAGTGCACCAACAATGAAATTATGAGTTGTTTTTATGCAAACCGTGATTACTATGAATCACATCAGATGAAATCGACCGTGATTTGTCTTGAGAGTGAATCACTGTTAGCGTGATAATTGTCTGCCATGTTAGGACGACATTATCATCTCTAAGTGTGATGAATCATACAGAAGAACTACAAAACAATTAAAATGTGTTGATAATTCAATTCTTCTATAGCCAGAGAAAGACAAACGCTTCCTTTGGTTATAATAAAGCTAAGTGATCACACGTCAAAAGTGGTTTTATCACATGAAAGGCATAAAAATAATATAAACTACATGAAACAATTTATGTTTATCAAAAATTTTATAATTCTCCTTTTTAAGCATAAAAGTTAACTAATTTCGTTCGTATAATTTTTAAATATCTGTCCTAAATAGCTGTAATTTTGCAGAAGTGATATGGATGTGATCTTGTTACACTAAGGGTTGTGAAACACGGTAAAACCTCAGAAAAACAGTTTATGTTTTTCAAAAATGATCTCTTATTGATGATTTAAGAGCTAGTTCTTGTTGGTATTGTAATCGACATTATATACTCGGCAAAACTTTTTCTTTAACCTCATTATATGACATTGCCCTCACATATTTTTGAACTTGGTAAAAGTAACTAATTTTCTAATCATTTTCCTTCGTCAAGTTTTATTGAAGTTTTAGCCGTCGTCAAGATATATCTGGTGATTGCCTGTAGAAGCTTTTGGTCAATAAAATAGCTGATGTGGGAAAAAATTACCAAAATAAAGCTCATTGACGTGTGCATTCTTCCCATCTTTACTTACGGTACTGAAAACTTGCCTCCGTTGCCGAACGGTTACCATGACTGACACGGAGAGGTCCCAGGATCGATTCCTTGGCCGGGAGAAATATTTGTAAGGCCAACATTTATTTCTTTCGTGAGGTTGGGTGTAACTTTGTGGTTGTCTATGTGTGTGTCCATGGCATCCGCCACACAGGGTTTCCCTAGTGCGGGGTTATGTTCAGTGTGTGCGTTATTATTATTATTATGAAGCGCAATATCTAGGGAGTAAAATTGTCAGTCAAACTGAGCTCCAAAACACAAAACGTTAACGATGGTCATAAAGTCGCTAATCTCAAATGGAACTAGGCTGGACACATCTGCCGCATGTCAAGCGAACTGTGGGCAAAGATCACCACGAAGTGGATCTCATCAAACGCAAGACGAAGACGTGAAAGACCCAGAAGGAGATGGTGTGACGAGTTAGATTGTTATATGAGATCTTGGCCTGTAGCGGCGTTAAATCGCAGTGAGTGGAGAAAGGGAAGTAGGACAATAACGGCTGAAAGAAGAAATACAATGTCTATAAACTATACTATGCCTATCTGCTTTATTTCGTCACAGCTGTTTTGACTTGGAAAGGTATAGGAAGGTGGTATCACGTATGTTCTTCACATAGAATACAAGTAATCATAAATAATAAGTTAAAAATAAATTATAGTATATAAGGCGTTTATTTTTTACTTGATGTCGTTTTAAAACTCAAAAGAATTAACTATAATAAAATTTGTGTTTTCCGTTTTACAATAACAATTGTGAGAATAATTAAATGACCAGTACCCGGATAGCACCAGCCATGATAATTTAATAATTAAGAATAATTGTTTAAAGTTAATTCTGTACTAAAAGCCGTAACAAAATTTGGCAGTTCACACTTTTTTAATGCATTTATTTGTTGTGGAAAAAAACTACAAAATACAAATGTTTTAAGTCAAAAAGTATTCATTGACAAAAACCCTATAATACGTATGAGTAATACCAAAACAACAAATACACACTGTAATTATAAACTAGAAAATGTTTCCCTAGTAATTTATATAAAAACAATATCAATTAACTGAGGAAATAGTAAATACACCTTGACTTATAGTAAGCAGATATTATCAGAGTATTACAAAATTTTTCAGGGTTATTCTCAGTAAGCATGGTCGAATTCAGAAAAGATATCTTTTTTAATCACTGTAAGGAAGAAACTACGAAACAATTGAAGCTCACACGTTTCCTTACG